TTTAAATTCATATTTGATTGTTTCTCTATATTACAGCTCATCTCCACCCAAACAAGTAAGAGAACTGTATGCTCAAGGAATCATTGATTGTTTCCATATCTTTGGGCATTGACTGTTTCCATATCTTAGAGATCCATATGCAAATCTTGGATATGTAAGTAAATTACTTAAATTAGAAAAATAAGTATGTGGTAGATGGATGTCTTGTTTAATTTTTTTTTATTTTAAGGAACATTATTATGACCCTCAAAGTGGACAAGGGTACTTGTCATGGAAAATTAAGAACATTCAGAGGAACAGTGCACCATCAGAGACCCGTAGATGTGTCCCCAAGTCTTTTAGTGGTGGCCCATCTGCGCAGAGAGAAGCTTCATCCAGCACAGAAGTTATCCTGACCGAAGAACAGTATAGGGAGGCTGTGTCTCTTATGAAGCATACTTCAGAGGAGGCGACAGTAAAGGTCAAGATGAGGGAGACATTTCAGTATCGTCGCAAGATGATTCATGACCCAAGCAGATGCACCGATGTGCTAACTGACTTTCCACGTTATTTGGATATCAAAGGCCTGGTAAGAACATTTGAGTTATTAATGTGATAATTTTTCTGTGAAATAAGGACAATAGAGAATATCTGTGGTGATATATTGATTATTCATTGTAAAGATAATACATTTGCACTTCATTGATTAATTCTGCTTTGTTGGGTTTTACAGATTGAGCTGGATTTTGCTTGTCTTTTTGGTGAAAAGACAGCTGCTAAATTTTTAGACAGGTGGCCAACTACATTTATGCAGAAAGTCATTCAGCAGAGCAAGGGGCTTAACTCCTCCAAAGAACTTCAGGACCTGATTCACTGTGCAGAATCAGCTGTGGACACTGAATCAGATGAAGATGGTATGCTGGTTTTAACAAGTTAATAATATAATTATGTACCTTACTGACTATGTATCCCCCCACTAAAATAACGATGTGTCTTAGGATGGGGTAACGGTCTTGCTTCGATTCTTCTTTTACTTCACCTAATTCCACCATCACCACAAGGTCGCAAGAGACCTGGAAAAATGTCGGCATCTCAAGCTGAGAAACACATTGTGATCTTCAAAAAGGTAAATTTGCCATTTTCTGTATTAACTGTCTACTTCAACTTCAACCCAGTTGTATTCATTGTAAAACTAATATAGAAACAAGCAACTGGAGCGTTGTTAAGGATTGTCTTTGTTTTATTTTTAGGCAGGGACTAACATGCAGGAACATCTTGATTCAATTGAAGAGAGAACCCAGCCCTACCTGCTTGCTATGGGGACAAAGAAAAGCAGTATTCATGGATACTACATCATCCTTGACAAAAAAGCCATACCTTGCAAGTCAGTGAGTGGTCTTGCTGCCTTTGATGAACTGTTCAAAGCCCACTTTGTGTTTGGTGCCTCGTACAACAAGGTGCTTCATAACATGTACACCTTCATACAAACAACCGTTTATGAGATTGACATTGGCAAAGTGAAAGAGAGTCCAAGGGTTGCTGAGCTCCGAGCCAGATTCATGCATTAGAGGTGATTGCCAGCTAAAATGATTTGTTTTGTTTGCTCTTGCTGTCTGGAGAACACAAATTTGCTTGTTCGACATCTAAAACTAATTCATGGTCTATTTTCTTGCAAATCGCTTCGTTTAAAATGTGGACAGGCAGGATGCTGTTTAGAATTTGGAACATATTCCGGGTTCCGCAAACATTTAAATAGAGTTCATAGACCAAGTAATGAAGTTCCATTACATGTTCAAGATGGTGCTGTTCATGAAGCAGTTGTTGGGCAATCTAGTAGTGTTGATGTGGCTAAATCTTCAAATGTCAGTTCCTTACCAATATCCAGTAAAAACACCACGGATATGTGTGCGTCCGTAATAGCACAACTGCAAGCTGCAGGTGTAAGTCAGACTACTGTTAATACATTTGTTATGTCTATGGAAGAAGTAGTTCAGGACATCCAGGACCAAGTAAAAGAGACAGCTCTTCGTTGCTTATCTTCACAGAACTCAGACATTAAAAGTGAAGTGGAACAGTCATTTCAGACAATTGAAAACCCTTTTACCTCACTTAATTCCATGTCTAAACGAAACTCCTATTTTTCCAGAAAATGG